GGATATTCTAAGAGGCTTATCAATAAATACTCTAAAGAAATGAGCCCCTGCAAAACTATCGAAACAGCTCGAAAGAAATCTGTCTATATCAATTTGTCATTCAAAGGAGATGATGCACAAGAAGTGGTCAGACGAAGACTCGATTAAGCTGTCAAGAGAACTTATTGTGCTGCAAAAATCATCTACCTTTTCACCACCAAATGAGTGCTTCAACAATCTGCGAAAGGCCAGTCGCTATTCCCCGATACTTCAAACAGAATATTTCAGTTTGTGAGTGTTTATGGAAGCGAATGCATAGGTCGTACAGAAAGGCGATTGTCTACTCGCATGACGGTGCATTTGCCAAAGTGGTTGAAAACAGCTAGGTTCAGTGCCGAAAAGCTCAATAACGAAGCATCTTGTGGACTAAGAAGATGATATCGACGCTGTCAAGTCATTCACTGTTGTCAGCAGACAAAGAAACAGGAGGATGTCTATATTTGCGGTGGCCTGTGCAATTCGACTTTATAAACTAGGTCTCTGTGTACAAAAGAAAATGGTCGTTACTCTGAATCTACTGTGGTAATACATCTTACTCAATAACTATTATTATTATTAACACTTTATTCTACCTCTTATTATTAATATTACTCAGTTAGCAATTCTTGATATATTAAGTTCTTCCTCTAATGACTGATTGTTTATCTAAGTGATGTAATTGAAGCGTAATGCATTATTATCTTAATTTTAATCTCTCATACTACCTTCCTTTTATCTACCTGAACATGACATGAAAGACACTGACGTGACGTTTTGCATGATTAATTCAATGTAGTTTATTTGTTTATGAATCTTATATCTCCCAATGTATTTTCGATAGTATATATGTCTCTGTATATAGAGTATTCAGGTGAAGATTTCTTTCGAAATTTGATGAATTCATTAAGTCCTGCTTTTTAACATTTGTTGCTTGTTCTCCATAAAAATAGCCTTAAAGTCACAACCTATAATTGAGATGAAAATACGATAATTTCACGACTTACAATTCGATAACATCGGTGAATTAAAAGTTCAAAGGAACCTGAAGTAATGAACTCCACACAATTTATGTAGATCGACTTAATATATGACACAGTAGAATACTAAAATGATCTGTCAGAAGCACATGCCAGTTGCAAACAAGTGGCGTCTGATTTTATGATGTCTAAGAATTATCTGCACCCACCAAAAGTGGATAATCAGAGTTGAGGATTTAATCGATAGCATTTCCAACAACCTGTTGCAGGCTTTCACCAACAGACGCGTTTACTCTATAGTGAAAATGAGATGGTCGGTCAGGAAGGATTGACATCAAGGAAATCTCGCAGCTAACCAGCCAACGATATACTGTCTAACAAACATGCAGAAGAAAATGCAGATGAACTGGACGTGCACTAAGGAAACACTCAAATGACATCACACGTCAAGCCTTCTAGTGGAACCCGAGTGGGATGCGACAGGTTGGGTGTAGGATCAAGAGACATGAAAATTATATGACGATGAGATGAAAGCTTGTGAGCAGCGGTGGAGATAGTTGGAAATGATAGCAGAGATCCAAGCGTAACGGAACTATGATGCTGAAGGCCTATGTACCACTTAGAACTTAGGGAACAAATTATAATGAGTATTGAATGTCCATAGTATGACTTGCACCGGTGAGATTGTATGTTCACAATTTACAAAGTTTGAGTGGTGAAATTCCACTGTAGCTTTCTTTGGAAACCAAGTTATTCCGATCACAATATGTGATCTGCTTGATACTATAAATTGTAATCAAGAAAGCAACCATATTTGCGTAAAACTACATACTGTTGATTGGGTGCGATAAATGGTTACATAATACTGATATCATCCAGCGGTGTTTGCTAGTCAGATCGAGGTGTACTGTGTAAATTACAAATTGTGAATTTGATTCATGGTATAACCAGTTCGAGTAAGTAGTAGTAAGGCAGAAGTCCGGTGGTTTGGACTGATTCGGCTCTTTGATCTGAGTCACACGGGGAACACCACTGATAAACTCAGCCTCAAACTAGCGAAACGACAGTCCGGTGTTTAGATCACCTCAATCTGGCTAGCAACCACTGCTAGTTGGTATGAGTGGTATGTGCCTACTCATCTTTATCAATCAGTAGTATATAGTGCTATACAAAAGAGATTCTATATTATATTTAAGTAAGGTAGAAGTCAATTGGTGGATGGTGACTAGCAGTAGAATCCAGGATAACGCGCATTTCGTCCCATTCGGGACTCGTCACTGGATGTGCCTGCATTCCGCAGTGAGTGATGATGCTCCCACCGAGGCTCGAACCCAGTGCCCATAGTTTCAAACGCCAAGGCGTTATCCAATAGACGGTAGAAGTCTTATTAAATTCATGAAACTACCTTACAACTTCTAATATAATAAGTTTTGGGTATGCTGTTTTGAATATTTCCCAACTGACGTTTTCATGACCAATGGTGTTGGCAGAAAGAGGCAGTGAAATGAAGTACATTTTAAGTCTATGGCTGTGATTTCAGAAATTGTGCGTCTCACACAGCTGGCACACTACCTTGCTGACAAAATGAGATGGGATGTCATTATTTCATGATAATCAAATCCTTAAAATAAAAACAAACATTGGGACCGCTCTTTATTTAGTACAGTATTTTGGTAAAACAAAACGACCCTTACATTTAATACGTAACAAAACATTGTTGTCAGTTTTCGAAGTAACTATCGCAGCAATTCAAATGCATTACTGAGAACCACTAAAGAATTAGTCAGAGTAATAAACGCTACTAGGAACATAATTCACATTATTATAAAACGGAATACATGAATTAAATTGATCTGAACTATTTCTGACTGACCGTGAATTACCGACTCATTTACTGTTTGTGTAACTTTGAGTAGGTAGAACAAAATCCATTGACTATTTTCCGAGCCTTGGTTTACTTTATTTCAAATTATCATATATTGGAATTTTATAGTCGTAGAGGTGTAACATAACTGAATCTGTAGTAAAGTCTCTCACACTTTATAAATATATTTCAAACAAATGTATATCAGATAACCAGGTCTCTATTTGGGAAGAGATCAACTCAGGAGAAACCTATAAAAGTCGTTCAAGGGAACCTAATTACCAAAGAGAAGCGACAAATAAAACAATGGACTGATCACTTCAAAGGACTCTTGAATCAACCATCATCTGCAACTCGATCAGAAATACCACTACCAGCAACAGCACGCACAGGACCACCTGCCAGTAGACACCTATCCTCCAACGAAAGCAGAAATCCGGAATGCGATCAAGCTACTGAAGTCAAGTCGGGAAGGCAGCAGGGCCAGACGGAATTCCCCCGAATCGTTGAAAATGCACCCAGAGATTGAGGCAGATGTGCTCACGACGTTATTGCAAAAGGTTTGGAACGAAAGGAAGGTGTCCACCGACTGGAAGAAAGACGGGTTACCTTGTCAAGCTGCCAAAGAAGGGGGACTTAAGCCTCACTCTGCAAGAACTGGTGTTGGATAATGCTCTTGTCCACGCCAAGGAAAACACTAAGTCGCATCATCCTGAAGAGAATAAAAGATGCACTGGATGCAGAACGCCACCCACCCTACCGGGAACAAGCTAGATTCAGGAAAGGTAAATTGTATGCCAATCAAATTGCAACTCTACGCATCGTCATCACAGAACAAAGCATAAAATGGCAGTCAAACCTCTCCCTATCTTAAATTCATCGACTTCGAAAAGACCTTAGACAGACAGCGTTGACCGAGAAGTAATTTGGAAACTGCTTCGACACTACGGCGTACAGTGCCTAAGTCTTTATCAACCTAATTCAACAACTGGCTGTATGACAATTCCTCGTGTCAGGTGATCCACAACGGAAAACTCAGTGAAGCCTTTTCAGTGAATACAGGAGTAAGACAAAGCTGCATGCCTATTATGGTTAATGATATTCCTAATTGTGGTGGACTGAATTATGCGTCATACTGTGCGTTGGAAGTGAGAATAAAGGAATACGCTGGAAGACCGATAAGACGACTCCAGAAGACCTGGATTTCGAGGGTGATTAGTGTGTAATGGCACACAAACTCGAAGACTTGCAGGCGAAAGCCAACAAACTGGATGAGGAAGCATCAAAGACAGGACTCCAGGTGACAATAGAGAAGACGGAGGTGAAGATAACCAACCAGCAGCAACAACAACCAGCACTAATCACCATCAACGGGAGAGATTTGAGAGAGGTTCCTTCCTTCACTTATCCGGCTAGGAAGCGCGTTTTCAACCACAGGCAGTTGCAATGGAAGATGTTAAAGTCAACTAGCCAGAATCGGAAAGGCGAGATACACCTTCATCAATCTGAAACCAGTTTCGAAATCTTAGGCATTCAGCAGCACAAAAAACAAGATTCGGATTTTCGACACAAATGATACGTCAGACAGTTCTTCTGTATGAGTCAGAAACTTGCGCTACGCATCAAGTAAAGCATTTCCAACAGCTTCCCTCGCTGGCTGCATACTGAGGATCAAATGGCTAGACAGAAAGAATTAGCAACAAGAAACTTTGGCTGGGAACAAACCAATCAAGAGCCGATCGCTCAGCAAATATGTGGGAGAAAATGGAGATGGATTGGGCATATGTTGAGGAGGGCGTCAAGTGACAACGCGCGCCAGGCCAGCACTCAAGTGGAATCTCAATGGGGAGTGACAAGCGGGTTGTCAGTGTGAGGGTGACATGGAGGAGATGACAGATTATGGGCAATCACGGACCCAGCTGAAGAGGACGGCAGAGAGTAGAACAAAATGGAGATGTGTTGTTGCAGCCTTTTGTTCCACTCGGAATCCAAGGGAATAATAATGATGAACAAATGTTTAGTTCTTTCTTCGGATAGAATTTTCTTGCTACGAAATGGCCACCTCTCTTACTTAATAATAAAAACATTAGAAAGGAAAATATACCCTGCCAAACAGATACAAGTTAATGAGAAATAAACCACTATTTCAACATTTTATTAGTCTTTAACAATTCAATTAATTCATTCACAGATGTACAAAAATAGGTGGAAATATTTTGTACAGCAGGACGAATTACATTTACGCCAAAACCAATAAATACTTCAGCTGGTGGACATGCATTTGCATCTGTCATTCCATCACCAATAATCATAACTGATGTTTGTAATTTATTCATTAATTCAGCAACGACTAAAGATTTACCATTTGATCGACTTGTCGGTTCACTGTGATCGAATCCACTATAAGTGCCTGTAACATAATAATAATAAAGGGACAGATTAATGCGTTCCGTGATTCTAATTTAAAAATCAATACAATGCTATGTGCTCGGATTTTACACCTATTCTAATATACTAACGTATTATTAAAGAGAACAAAATACAATGGACATTAAGAAAATAATAAACATTGCACTGATTTCAATATTTGCCAATAAAACCATAAATTCAGCATTATACACGTAATTTTTTTCGTTATCCATCGCCTATTACGTGTTTCTTAAAATTGTAATCTTCTTTTCGCAGTTCCCTCTTCACTGGCTTTTCCAATGGCACAGATTATAAGTGAATCTCCCCGAGGAGGTTATCCTCTGTATACTGCTTGTGTCTACTACTTATAAGTAACACAGACCACATGTTTATTCTACAAAAGTTTTCAATTTGTTTATTACAAGACCTAATTACATAAATAGTAAAGTAACCTGGACAGTGATTATCTTCATTCCGTTCAAATGAAGGTAGAAGAGGAAGACAATAAACTATGCAACAACTAATCAGCTTCAAAATAATGGGAAGTACAACAAAATCATAACATACAGGCACAGTGGAAAAAATATAACCAAAATCAAAGTATAAAGTCTCACTATCAGGACTGTTGAGATACAGACATCCCATGTATTTTTTCTCCGTTTCAATTTTACTCACTTAAACGACTGACTGCTTTATATAGACTTGATAAAATATTTGGTTTTCTTCACAGCTCACTATCTCTTAGCCATTACTTTAAATAACATTGTCCTCTTCTACCTATGGTAATTGTTATTATTACTATTATGGATTATTGAGTTTTATTCAATATGTGAAAGTAAGTGAATAAACTGAGCTGTACAAATACCGCTTTTGACTGAAGAAATCCTCTGAAATATAAACAAGGTGTTAGCAGTGTTGAATTACCTAAGTTGTTGTCGATTTAGTAGTAATAGAACAGGAATTCAGGTCGAAAAATTATTATCTTAAGGCATGATGCCTATAATAATTTTGTTATAAGCAAACTGGGAAACAATCTGATACACCGAAATATGAAGAGGTGTAACGACAGTTGAAGTTAACATATGCAACACTGACTGACTAACTGAGTTTCAATAGAGAAATTTGCATAGAAGTGCGGCACTTCAAGTTACCACACTCCCTATTGTAAACAAAGGCAGAGAAGCTGCTGCTGGATTCAACATAGAACTTGGCACCGAGGTGCAGCAGTTCGAGTTACCACGTTCCAAAGAGCACACAAAGGTAGACAGGAAAATGAGAGAAGAGAATCAATAGAATTTAGATAAGTATAAGAGTGAAACAGAATGAGTAATGGTAGAAATGAATATGAAAGGTTAAAGAGACAATACATCTGCGCCACTGACAACGATTTTCAGCCATGTCACCTATTGTCTCCAGCCATTGATTCTTAGAGTCCCGAGGGTGGGCCCCAACCCGGAAGTCTGCATCTCCCTACCTGACTCAGTTTAACTGTCAGGGATTTCATGGATTGATGCCATGTTTTTGTTTGGCCACCACTCACTCTTTTCCAACCTATATCAGCTAGTAATGCCCGTCGAGGGAGGCGATGGAAGAGACGGAGAAAAGATATTCAAAAGAAATATAATAAGCAGAAATGTGAGGAAGAAAGGATAGTAAGATAAAAAATATGAGGGATCAATGGATATGGCAGATTACAGAGGGAATTCAGCTGTGCACGCCTGAGAACGATTCTAAGTCATATCACGAACAGTCTCAAGCCATAGGTTCTTAGCATTTCAAGGATCCTAACCAGGCAGTCTACACTTCCCTAAGTGGCCCAAACTAACCGTCAAAGACTCACTGCCAGATTTTGGTTTGGCCACCTAACTCTTTTCCAATCTAGTCCTATGTTAGATAACATTGCTCGTCGAGAAACTCTGCAACCGAATATGTATAACACGTCTCCAAGCAATCTCAATAGATATAGATTCAAAACCTCATTGACTGACTTCCCTACCATACCTAGAACTCTACGCCTACCTCAATATCGGTCACCATATTAAACCACTTAACACGGTAGATGGAATGCAAACATCCGTGGTCAAAGACAACTAGCATTTCATATTCTCCACTTCCGACGGTCATGAATCAAAACTTCTGAGGGATAAAAAAACAGCACAGGTATATGCGTAAGTCTAGTGACGAAAACCAATGACACGAAATCAGTTGATTACCCAAGTGTTAACAATCAACCTAAATACCCTTCGCATGTATGTTCCAGGAAAAAATATAAACATGCCTTGTAAGAAAATTCTACATATGACAAAGAACACTTTAACTTTATTGCTTTCATTAATAGAAAACGAAATTTTTATGGTAGAATTTTTACGTCCTAAAACTATTGCTGAAAAATTGGTGTGAACATAATTGAAGCAAATATAAAGGATATTTCACAAAACAATACATGTGTATTGACAGAAGAAATGAATATCTTCTCAGAAAATTTACGATACATGCTCTTCTATTTTTAACAGGTAAAATAAGCATAAAAATTTTGGCTTAATGAACCAGTATCCTCCTAGAAAGAGGTTAAAGTATGTTGAATTCGAAAAACGCAAACTATCGGCTATAAATCTTTCGATACAATTGTACCTTGCAATTATCCACATCTGTTACCGCCTTATGAAATTAATATGCGATGAAAGTATGATAAAAGAGATATATGAATGACTTTAAGCAAGTGGACATAAACTTATCAGGTGTAAGGGAATCATTTGTCACTCTACATACTACTGACCGATTGATATAAGTAGTCGGATACCACTTAGGTCAAACAGTAGTGCTGGTTGGCCATATCGAAGTGATCTACTCACAAGACAGAATCGTTTGTTCATTTTTAGGAAATTTACATAAAACTATTACGTTGAGGAACCTACTAAGCATTAGCTTTATTGACGTATTATCATTGAAGTCAATCCCGTATTTTACATAACAAGAGTAAATAATGAGAAGTCACTAATGTTCAGCCTAAAGAAAAACCTAAAACTGAATTACGATCATAATGATAACAGCTGTTAGTACTCTGATGGTGACTACATAAAGTGATATAAAGTGCTGCATTCAACAAAAACTCCGTAGAGCAGAAACTACAGATGATTTTCCCAAAGCCAAGTTAAGAACTAAGTTTAGTGTCAAGTAAACGAATCTTAACTGAGTAAATATCATTTATGCTAAAATTTACTGGCGCAGATACGGTAAGATAGATAACACTTGCAGCGCACACTAGGACTGCGAGAGAATGAATGGGACGGGAAATTTCTACTAACCATACAGACTAAGTAGTCACATAATACATGCGTATATAAAATTAGGAGAGAATATCGAACTGACATTACCTTCATCAGTGAAAATTAGTTTGTTTGCGTAAATATTTTCTTCAGGAATATTCAACACCTTTGCTACGCGGCTAACCAATGGATACAATCCTCCACTAACCAGATATATATGAATCCCATTCTCTTTGAACTGTTGGATAAGATTTCTGTTTAAATATAGGTTTTTAAAATTAGGCACATTGAGACCATAAGTAAACACATCAATTAAGTGCACTGTAACTATTTAAATTCAGTTACACATCTAAGTCATACTGAAATAAACTATGTAATATAATGTGCATATAAAATAGTTATAAATGTCCACTTTGAGAATAACAAAACTCAACAATCCGCTGTTGTATAGTAAGCACTGTCATTATTCCATTGGTAGTTACGACAAAATGTTACTTCACAAACGATGATGTTTTATTCGTAAAATGAAGCCAAGCTATTAGAAAGAATGAAAGCGACTACGAATTACTATACATAAAGAAAATAATTAAGCAATTAATTGTGACTTATGTCTGACTCAGAAGTTTACCAGTCAGAATTCAAATTGCATAAAAAACGACTATCTGTTACACAAACAGACATCCAAACAGATTTTACCCTTATTGTAGACGCCTGCTGTAAATAAGTCCATAACGCAAAAACTGTGTTGGAAGTAATACTTGCATTTGGATCATAATTGAAATCTATAATACCCATTGCACCCCTATAAAAGATCTAGTACGGTTGTCGGTAGGTAGACTCTAGTCTTCCTCTTGAAATGCTCTCAAATGGCTACGCGTCAATAGTCTCTGCCAGACAAGTCCTATTCACTGTCTTCAAGAGGCGGGAGTGTTCCTAACAAGAGTGAAAGGATGAATGCAAACCTCTGGCCCTTGCAACCAGACTGGTAGATATGTTGGTCAAACTAAGGGAGCTGGGAAAGCCTGATTCTGAACCTGTGGTATACATGGGCTCCAGAATCCCAACGGATTGAATGGCATATGGCCCCGTTTCGGTCACCAGAAGTCACCGAAACGCAGCCCCTGAAGCTGCTCCACTACCTTGAGGGTCAGACTTCAGGTCAAAGGGTGAGGAGTGGCCGTTTAAGACAACCACCTGCTTCGATCTGGGTGTCCAAGCAGTATCTCAGTCCTCGCACAAACTATGAGATTTGTGCAGTGCATCCCTTGATACCCATCATGTACCAAGCTCGTGCTTTAATAATAACAATAATATTAATAGTAATACTCCTCGTACTTCCATCGACTGGTGGTGCAACTGCAAAGATTGAAGGGACAAAAGGGAATCTTTCCAAGAGTGGCTTACTAACTTGTCCTCAAAATCTGCGATGTACCTTATTGTGTTTCTGTATTCCTATTGTTACAAAGTGTATTTGTATTTCGAATTGTTATTCTTCTAATCTGTCCATACTGTCTTTCATATTTTAACCGTCTGACAGGTGATTTACTGATTATTGGTCAACCTGAGAACCAAGCTTAGAAAACTTCTTTAAATTTCCCATTCCTGCTCAACATTCCTATATTTTATGACTCGGGTCCTTAATTGTCTACGTACGCTGACGTGACACACGTTAAATGCTGACGATCACAGCGCAACACAAAGTCATTTGAATTACGGATATTCCTCACCATCTTGAAATGTCCACCTCTATTCTTATATGCATTTTTCTACAATAACAAGTTAGGTATGATCAAAACTTTCTACATTTCTTAATACAGAGCTAAGGTTTAATAAAGTATCTCCCTTGGTGAACAGGAACCTGTTTCAAATTCAGAACATACCTCTTGTCTACATTAATAACTAACTAACACTGACAACTACACGAATCTGATTTCCTAGACACAATTTACCATTATAATTACATTCTCAAGGAGAAACATCAGTGGTTACATATTATTTATGTAATCAGATAATACAAATAGATATTCTTAGAAGAAATGTTTCCAGCCAATACACTACTAAAAGAATACTTGTCAACCTTTATTCAAGCAAAATAAACGTTTGTTAAACCATCTAATTCTTGTACAAGCAATTTTAGGACAAGGAAGTTACACAGGATACTACTAGGTAACTTGTAAAAGTGAAAATGACGATATGAAAACTTATTTCTGAAGAACGTATTTAAACAAAATAAAATAAACTTACTCGATTCCCGGTGTCAGTTTAACTGGATTATTGTCCATAAATTCATCCAGCTTCTTCTTAGTCAGGTTCATCATTGATAAACGAGTTTCAAAAGCCTGAGTGAAATCTAATTCCCCACTCATAGCCCTCTCAGTACTGTTCAAATCTTATAGGTAATGAAATCGTATACTACATCACTTTAACTTGATCACTAACTCCTAGGTAAGTGGCCAGTTCGTCTAATCCTTCATCAACACAAACTGTAGAATCTACGTCCAAGCAAACACACTTGATAATAGACCAGTCCGCGCACATTGTTTAGTTGTGGCTTTAAGGTGTGATACATCCAACTGTACGACTTAATAGTTCCTAAAATACGTGTTTACGAAAATAGAAGTACAAATGCTGCAGTGATTAATGATGAAAGGATTAGTGTAAAAAAACGAATATCTTTATGATCACTATGCAACAGGGTGAAGAAGGTTGGTTACTCTGTGTTTACTCCCATGAATGAGCAAACTTAGCTTTGTATTACTGTTATTCCTCTCATAACTGCACAATTTCCTAGCTCGATAAAAATACCAAGCCTATTATTTGATAACTCCAGTAATTCACGAAAAACTCAGATCAGGGCATATAGGAAAAGAAGACAAGTAACTCAGCAAAGACAACTCGGACAAATTTAAGCTTAAGTTGCACAACTGTATATCTGAGTTTTCAACATAATGTGAATGGTGAAAGAAACATTAGTGACAAGCAGTACATCGAATTCTCGTGTAGCACTCAAACAGTCAAGGATTGTAAGTGTTGTCTGAACATCAGCAAATTATGCACACATAAGAACACCATCAGTAAAGTTTTAAACACGAGTTTCTGAAATACAAATTAGGGAAACATTTCACCAAGATCTCACCAAACTAATGACGCCACAATATAAAAATGATCAGTCCAATAAGGCAAACGCCATGCAGTTGTGTTAAAACATCTCATTTCCTTTTGCTCAACCACTGTATGTTTATATTGTGTTTATCTAATCAATAAAAGTGTGGACAAACCTCTTCCGTACGTCAGTCATTTCGTTTAATTTCGCAGCAATAACTAATCACCAAATACATCTATTTTAGTCATTTCAACTCTAAGCCTTTTATACAGACGCTGTTTGAGTTTGCGGAAATGCAACAGTTCAAGTAACCACATTTCATAAAGTACAGAAAACGGTAGAGAAAAGAAAGAAATGCAAAGGAAAGATTTGTTCAGAGTGCAGAACATCACATGTCCAAACCATCAGAATTGACGAAGGTTTATAACCTCCAACTAACAATCCAAGCCAGACCTCGAGGTCATCACCACTATCAATATTATCACAAACTATATTACACGGCTTTACACAAAAGACTGAAATTTGACAACAGTGATTAGATACGGGTAGCTTATTTATATTTTCCACATTCTACGGCCACGTTTCAACGCCATACATCGATAGCCAGAAGACTACAAGCATTCCTACATGGACGGCGATTTCTGTTATGTATTCCATACTTCCAATTACTTTATTTGGTAGGTTAAATTTAACTGAAAATGGAATGAAAACAAAGAATATCAATCTTCAGATCTGAAGGTTGATATTTCGAAATAACAATGGCAAAAACCAGAGCGTGCGGGTTAAGCCCTCACAAACAAAGCAGTCTAGTCGCAATCACTGACTTTGAGTCCTGTTAGACCATGTACCTCTCGCCACACAGATAGACTCCTGGTTATTTTCCTCAAAGGGAGAAAAGAAAACAGTGTTAGGCACTCTATCTAAGACAGATTTTATTTTGTTACAGAACTACAGTTTGACGAAAATGTACCAGTGACGCAAAATTTGTACTTCGCGCAAATTTAGTTCGATATTAGTATTCAGATTAGTCCGTAGGTACACTGTTTATTTTCGACTTACATGTATATGTAAGAAGTTAAACTTTAGGTGTCCAGCAGACACGTGCAATCATTGGGTTCATGAAACCAGATAAATGAAACCCGGTTTGTGAAAAGTTTGTAGTGCACATTCCAATATTAAAGACTTTTTTTGATAGCATTATTAGAAGACGGAGATTATCTGAAAAATGTGATGTATTAGCGCTATACATTTCGAACAATCTGATCACACATTTACTTGTCAAGTCAATATGTATGGAAAGGTTAAATTAAACAAGGTGACAAAAAAAAGAATTAAGAATAATTAACACAAACGTTTGGTAATCCAATCAAATAAGGATTACCAAGGTAGGTTTAGAGTAATAACAAACTGTTTTTGAATACACAAGGGGGGCTTAAGTTTATGAATGGCTATAGCCTCAGCGTATTTCAGTAAACGTCCTTGACCGTTTTTATAGATGACCTTAAAGGCTGAGTTAACATCAACCTTATGGTTCATCTCGATTAAATGTTTAGCTATAGATGAAGTTGGTAGTCTGGCACCTGCATCTATGGGCTTGTCACAATTCATCTGTTTTCCTAACCATTTTGGGATATGCTCTCCCACCCTCACGTGCAACGCGCGATTACTCCTCCCTATGTATGTATGTCCACACACACATGAAAATTGGTAAATTGTATGGGATGTGATATAATCACTTGTGCACTTTTGAGGTTTCCAGTGAAGCATATTTTTAGCCTTTTCGACAATTACAAGCTGGGCTGCATAGTAGGTTCTACGGATGATGGAATTCAACCTTTGTCTCAAAATCCTACTATTTATTTCCCCATTATATGGTAATTTAATGAAAACCTATTTCTTAGGGACGGTATGGATTGTAGGTTTAGAGGCTAGTTGACTTCTACACCTGTTTAAAAACTTCAAAGGATATCCGTTTTCAACAAGAGCATATCCCAAAGTGGTTAGGAAAACAGATGAATTGTGACAAGCCCATAGATGCAGGTGCCAGACTACCAACTTCATCTATAGCTAAACATTTAATCGAGATGAACCATAAGGTTGATGTTAACTCAGCCTTTAAGGTCATCTATAAAAACGGTCAAGGACGTTTACTGAAATACGCTGAGGCTATAGCCATTCATAAACTTAAGCCCCCCTTGTGTATTCAAAAACAGTTTGTTATTACTCTAAACCTACCTTGGTAATCCTTATTTGATTGGATTACCAAACGTTTGTGTTAATTATTCTTAATTCTTTTTTTTGTCACCTTGTTTAATTTAACCTTTCCATACATATTGACTTGACAAGTAAATGTGTGATCAGATTGTTCGAAATGTATAGCGCTAATACATCACATTTTTCAGATAATCTCCGTCTTCTAATAATGCTATCAAAATTTATAAAAGGGACTAACTGTTTTTAATTGAAGACTTTGTTTCGATTTGTACATATACGAAATGGCTCCAACGCCATTTTGTGCCTCTCCTTTGTGTGGTCTATGCGCACATTCCTTGAGTTTGTAATTGTAATAGCTGTTTCTAAGTTCTAGACCTTTCTCTTGGATTATCCTTTCTGTTTATTTTACTCAAATATAAGGCCCACTTAAGCACTTTTCTCCAGTAACCAAGTCTTCTTAATTAACGTTTCGTCGCCAGCACTTACAGGTTAGGTGGAGTGATGAAATTTTGGGTACATAGGAAAACTGCGTTAATTAAGGTTTGTGGGTTTGTGAGGACCCTAAGACATGACCAGCTGGAAGTAAAAAAATCTCGATGGTTCCCTGATGGGTGAAAAAAATCTTCCGAGCGGCTTGATAGAGAGCCTGCTGGTCTGTCTGCCTATGCTAATAGGGTGTCTGTACATAGCTTCCTCGATGTTGTTCGTTGGATCCCGTGCTTCGTTTGTTTCCTGTCCAGTGCCCGTTGCACCTGGAAAAGAAAACAAGAATGCTGAGAACCTTGTCGAAGGAAAATATACCAATTAAGCTTTTTTTACAAAAAAAGTGACGTGCATCTACTATACAGTAAAATAATGTAAAGTTCAAAATATCGGGAAAAATATATACATTTAATTCAATTTTTTCTAAGTGCATGTTTAATGTACGGTCATAGGAAAAAAATCGTTTACTTGTGTTAAGTGATGCTACACAAAAAAATTGATGTCACTCAGTTATGTGAAATAGGAATCTAACGTGACGTCCAGAACGCGTTTTCTTAGAGTGATCGACCGAAGTAGCCAGTGGGCGAATACCCTGACAGTCAATAGTGTGACCCAGGAAGTTGAGTGAGTCAACGCCTATTTGACACTTCTGTATATTGATGGTAACACCATGTTGGCGTAACCTTTCAAATGCCAAGTCCAAGTGTCTAAGGTGAATTTCCTTATTTGGACTGGCAATGAGGCAGTCGTCTAAGTATGCGTATACAAAGTCGAGACCGCGAAATACTTCATCGATGAAGCGTCGGGATGTTTGTGCCGCATTCCGGAGGCCGAATGGCATACGTAGGAATTCAAAAAGTCCGAAAGGCGTGATGATAGCCGTTTTCGGAATATCTTCCGTTGCCACCGGGATTTGGTTATATGCTTTAACCAAGTCGATTTTGGAGAATATAGATGCTCCAGATAACGTTGCCGTCAAGTCGTGTATGTGAGGCAAAGGGTAGCAATCAGGAGTTGTTTTGGCGTTCAATCGCCGGTAATCACCAGTGGGTCGCCAATCGTTACTATCCTCTTTCGGTACCATATGCAATGGGGATGCCCATGGACTATTCGATGGCCGAATGATGCCAAGGGTGAGCATATGATAGAATTCGTTTCTGGCAATTCTCAGTTTGTCAGGGGCCAGTCGTCGTGCTTTAGATGTCACGGACTGTCCTGAGGTTATGATGTGGTGCATAACATTGCTGGTTATACACGGGAGACCGCTAGATGGGCAATTGAGTTCCGGATATTTGTCAACAATCGGTTGAAAAGTTGGATCGAGGATTGCTTTCATCTTAACGATTGACAAGCTGGGGCCTACGTAAGTTATGCCTTTGATAGACAAACTAGTAGTGTTGTCAATTAGTCGTTTACGGCGGACGTCTACGAGCAAATCATGATGATTAAGTAGGTCCGTGCCAATGATGGGCATTGTGACGTCAGCGATTAGGAAAATCCACTGAATAGGTTTGCGTAAACCTACGTTCAGATAGACGTATTTCCGACCATAGTTTGCAATTGGTTTTCCATTTGCAGCCTGTAGGTTGAAGTTAGGATCCTTCTGTCGATCTGCTGCTGTAGCAGGAAGGACGCTGACTTCGGCGCCTGTGTCGAATGGATATCACGTCGGGCTCACCAGTTTAGTGGTTGACGGTATCGACGTTCGCGAGTTGTACGGATTATACTAACGCAAGATCTTATACCAACAACTTCTATAGTGTTCGTTCTTCGAGTACCAAAGATAAAGCAAAAGACCAAATTTTGTCGTCCAAATAGGATATATATTTTGGGACCAAATCGCGGGTAGAAATGAATGCCTAGCTAGCTAGTAATCGTGCACGCACGTGACACGACGGAGTACCAAATGGCGGGGATGCTTGACCGTAAGCCTTCAGCTAAACAAGTCGACTTAAACAGTGATGGTCAGCATCCAATGTTGAGTGATGATTGCTGTGGTTAATAATTTTGGGGAATTATTTACCGCTACAACTGAAATATAAGGCCCACTTAAGCACTTTTCTCCAGTAACCAAGTCTTCTTAATTAACGTTTCGTCGCCAGCACTTACAGGTTAGGTGGAGTGATGAAATTTTGGGTACATAGGAAAACTGCGTTAATTAAGGTTAAGCCAATTGACAGCACTAACTGTTGTTTACAAGTTGTTGAATGAAGTGTTACGATACTTAAAAAGCATACCTGGTTGGTTTTACATTACGTTAGGTGAAGCCTAATGTTAGGTTTATCTGAGGGACTGGTTACGGTCAGGTAAACTTAGTCGTTGAGACATAAGGATTGGTTAAATAGATTATAGTTAAGTCCGGGGTCAAGTCTCGAATCAGAGCGTCAAATTATCTGTAACAAAATATAATCCTTATAGATGAAGTATTAAATACACGCAGGTGCCTCTCAGTCTGGCCTTGTCGGTTCATCATTATATCCACATCTTCAACGCCCTTTACAACGAAACCTACCATGGACCCTGCCAGCGAACCTGGAATATGATGAACTCCGATCAGGCAGTTGTGGAACTCCTCACATGACTACAATCGCCTGGAGATAACTCTTTAGACCACCTCCATATTCTGATGTCTATGTTGACTCACTGTAACATCCGTGGGAATGTAGCAAACACAGTATGGTGCGTATACCATCCGTCGGCGGCCCAGTCTCCTGTGATCTACACACACCCCTTGGCTACCCGCAGCCAGCACAACAAAACCCAGTCAGACCCCCCTCGTTGGTTAATAAATGCCCAACAAGATTATACAGCCACGAACAGCAGCTCCCTTTGTATAGTACCTGCAGAACCTACAACAACTTCCGTTAGCCAACATCACCACAATCCGCCTATGAGTGACCGGCAACAACGTACGTTCAACTGTTACTATCGTAGAAGGCTGGGTACAAAGGCGAGAAAATGTAGCCGAAACCGTCAGGTGCAACAAAGCAAGTCTCCACTGTCTGCATTCGTCTACATATTCATGTAATTGTGGACCACAAATGTTATGGAGACTCACTGATGGAGTGTCTTCTAAAATACTCCTGGATACTGACGCGT